TTAGAAATGGAATTATAAAATTACAAGTTCTTAGGGTATTTGTATGTTTAATTTTATAAAAAACAACAAAATTCTTTTCCAGTTCCCACAGCAGTACATGAAATTTCTGCTTGGTCCACATCCTCACTAACATTTGATATTATTATTAATATTTAGCTATTTTAGTGGGTGTGTGGCATGATCTCACTGTGGTTTTAATTTGCATTTCCCTTATGGTGCAATTTTATTGAACATCTTTTAATGTGTTTCTTGGCCATTTGTACATCTTTTGTAAAACATCTGTTCAAATCTTTTGCCCAGTTTTAACTGGGTTTTCTTTTCATATATACATATGATTGAAAATATTTTTTCCCAGTTTGCCTTTTCATTATCTTAACTATCATCTGAAGAGTGGAAAGTTTTAACTGTGATAAAGTTCAATTTACCAATTTTTCTTTTACGGTTCATGAAATTGTTGCCTAATGCAAAAATTGCTCTTACGTTTTCTTCTAGAAGTTTTATAGTTTTAATGGTTACACTTAGTTCTATTATCTATTATTTTCTTGTGTGGTATAAGAGTCAATGTTTGTTTGTTTTTCTTTGTTTAATATGGATACCCAGTTGTTCCAGCACTTCTTGAAAAGACTCCTTTCCTCCCTGAATTACCTTGGCACCTTTGTTGAAAATCAAAGATGGGTTTATTTCTGGATACTATTCTGTTCCCTTGATCTTTAATTCTATCTTTATACCAAGACCATACTCTCTTAATTACTGTAGCTTCATAGTAAGCCTTAAAATGATGGGTAGTGTAAGTCATCCAACATTTTTTCCCCCAAGATTGTTTTGCCTACCCTAGGTTCTTTACATTTCTACAAAAAGATCTAGTGGAATTTTGATTGATATTTGAGTGATTTATAGATCATTTTGGAAAGAGCTGACATTTTAACAATATTAAGTCTTTGAGTTTATAAACAAGGTATAACTCTACATTTATGTAAGACTTCTATTTTTCTTAGCAGTGTATTGTAGTTTCCAGTATACAGGTCTTGCCAATGTTTTTCTAAATTTATCTGTAAGTATTTTCTTATATTTTTTAAATGCTGTTGTAAGTGGTACTTTTTCCCAAATGTTCATTGCTAGTATAGAAATACATGACTTTTATATATTGATTTCTTATCCTGTGATCTTGATAAATTCACTTGTTAAATCTAGTACTTCTTCTGTAGACTTATAATTATCTCTGTATACGATTATTTTGCCCTACCCTAAGAACCTGTAATTCCACTTCTATATATTTACTGATGTTCACACAAAGAATTGTAAGTGAATGTTCATAATAGCGTTACTCATAAAAGCCCCAAACTGGAAACAACTCAAATGTCCATCATCAGGTGAAAGGATAAAACATACAATGAAGTATTACTCACCAATAAAAAGGAACAAACTACTAATACATGTACCAAACAGATGAATCTCGAAAACATTATGCTGAGTGAAAGAAGTCTGGTACAAAAGAGCACATACTTTTATATGATTCTAATTACATGAGATTCTTAACTAAGCAATACTAACCTATAACGACAGAAAGTAGATTAACAGGTGTCTGGAGCTAGGGAAAGGATGGGGGAGACTAACTGCCAAGGGTTATGAGGGCAATAAAATCTTTGATATCTTAATTGTGCTAGATATGACATGGTTGTATAAATTTGTCAAAACACATCAAACCATACGGTACAGTTAAAATGAGCGTGTTTTATTGAATGGAATTGTACTTTAATAAAGCCGGTCTTTTAAAAGCTTGATTTCAAAGAAGCAATACACAGGCATACCTCATTTTACTGCGTTTCACTTTATCGCACTTCGTAGATACTGTGTTTTTTTTACAAATTAAAGGTTTGTGGCAACCCTGTGTTGAGCAGGTCTATCGGTGCCATTTTTCCAACAGCCTATGTTCACTTCATGTCTCTGTGTCACAATTTGGTAATTCTCACAATATTTCAAACCTTCTCATTATTATTATACCTATTATGGCGATCTGGGATCAGTGAGTGATCTTTGATGTTAATACTGTGATTGTATGGGCACCATGAACCATGCCCATATAAAACGGCAAACAATCGATAAATGTGTGTGTTCTGACTCCTTAACTGACTGGCTGTTCCCTCATCTCTCTCCTTCTCCTAGGGCCTACCTATTCCCTGAGACATGACAATATTGAAATTAGGCCAATTAATAACCCTACAATGGCCTCTAAGTGTTCGAATGAAGAAAGAGTTGCTTGCACATCTTTCACTTTAAATCAAGTGCTAGAAATTATTAAG